TATATATATATATATATATATATATATATATATATATATATATATATATATATATATATGTACGTATAGATATATTAAAAAAAACCTTTATTATTATTATTATTATTATTATTATTATTATTATTATTATTATTATTATTATTATTATTATTTATGAACTTTTGAAGAAATTATAGTTAAAATTAATTAATTATGTTTAAAGTAGATGAGTAACGTAAATAAAATATAAAGAAATTTATATATTGAAATCTAACTGTAAATCAGTATACATACAAACCTTTTCGTTGAAGATGAATTATTTTTATAATAAAAATATTCCTCATAGTAAAATAATTTGCCAATCTCTTTTTTTTTTTCCATTTTTAATAAAATTAAAAAAAAAATTCGTATTTTTTCACAATATTTTCACTTGTTATAGTAGACAAATAATATCAAATACTTATTTATTACTTTTCTAACTCAAGATAGCTTGCTTATAAAATTTTGGCATCTAAAACTTTTCTTAAGCTCCTCTAGAACGCCTGTGTTGTGTGTTTAAATGAACAATTAAAAAATGATCTTATAGCTCGGCCGATCGATGTACTATATGACTACTGCTTCACATTGTCCGAGTGAAAAAAACAGACGAGAGATTCTAGACACAGATACTACGTATCACTTGAAGCATATACTGTACATTTGAAAATTTCTACAGTAGGCACGATTATTTTCTTTCTTACACCGAAAAAAAAAATTTACTTAAATCAAGTAAATAATTTTGAAGAATTTCATCTTTTTGATTTAAGTAGAAAAATTTTAAAAACAAGAAATTTTTCTTGGTTTAAGTAAATTTTACTTGATTGAAGAATTTTTCATATTGATCAAAGACAGTGAAACTCTTCAAAATTATTTTTTTGGTTTAAGAATTTTTCTCTTGATTCAAGTTAATTTTTTTTTCTGTGTATATATAGATATCATAAAACTATTAGTTAAAGAAACATAAATAATATGAATTTTCTAATTACAATTTATTGTTAAGATATTGAAAATAAGTTTAATTTAACAATAATAATATCTTTTTCACACAGATAATTGGTAATAAGCAATGCTATTTTTATCGCCGGGGCTGAAGGCTGTCGAGTATTGTAAAGGCCCAAGATTTGTTACGGGCCTGGATTTAAGTCTTATTCCAGGCCCGTGACAAGACTCGCCCTATAAAAGTGGTATATAAAATATGTACATTGAGTTTTACAATAAATAATATATTTGTTGTATAAATAAAAATTTTAATTATTATTTATTAACAGTGAACATATTAAAAATAAAAAAATATAATATTTAAGTACCTATGATATTTTAAATTACTGTGAAGTAAATTATTAATTTCTCTTATATTATAAATGGCTGGATTTTTGCAATTTTTCATAATTTGTATGTATCTAAAGATATAAAAACACCTAGATTATGACTTGTTCGCGTAAGCATCCATCGCAGAGTTTCAACCAATGAAAGAGCATTTACTTCTTTTGAAAAAGCTTCGTCAGTACGTGTAGAGGGGGACAACAAAAGAAATGCGGCACTTCAAGGAAGTTGGATAGACAGTAGTCACAAGTTTGTCTTTGGTTTATGTGGATGCGTACTAAGAAAAAGTGTTAATTTAAAAAAAATGGTTTTTAATAAAAGATCTATGGAATATTGGGATTTTTATCATAAAGATGGTTATGTTTATACTTGTCATAAAACTGAAGAGCAAAAATTAACTGGAATCATTACAAAGTAAGTAAATGGATTTAAATAATGACTGGTTGAAATTTTCCAAGTTTTATACCTTTTTTAATAATTGAATTTTATTATTTTTTTTTTCTGTAGATATCTTATTTGTAAAGAAAATAAAAGAAAAAAGTGCGAAGGCAGTGCTACTCTTAAGGGAGAAATATTGACTGTAAAAATCGGTCACAAATATCATGAACCACGACCAACAGAAGAAATTGAGGCTGAAATCGCTTTTCGGCGATCTCTTAATCAAGCCTGTGTCACGTCTTTTACATCTTTGCGCACAATCTATGACACCCTTATAATAATGTAAGTTTATACAAATACTTTATTATTTATTTTCAACGGTATAATTGCTTGATTTATTTAAGAGAAACACAGTTGAAATATTATAACTATAATTTTGTTTATACTAAAAATTTTCAAGTTAAAGAATTATAATTTATTTGATAAACATACATAAATTTCTTTAAAACGCTCGTATAAATAAAAATTAAAAAGTGAAATAAACAATTAAATTTTTTTTTATTTCTTAAAAAGTTCTTAAATAATAATAATAATAATAATAATAAAGGTTTTTTAATATATCTATACGTACATATATATATCTGACTCGAAAATCGGTTTTGTTAAATATTGGTAGTTATTATTATTATTATTATTAGAATAATAGTAATAACTACCCACAAAAAAAAAATAATAATAATAGTAATAAAATATTATTTCACGTCTCAATGCGAAGCGTTTGAGTAGTGCTTTACTTTCATTCTCTGAAAGTCAAACAATTATCTCGGCTTGAACAGCTCTTATCTGATATTTTTTTTTGCACTTAAAATATTAAATACTTGGATATTATAAAAAAAATTAAAAAAAAACGTTATGAAAAAATATTTCGGTAGACGTCAGCTCAAAAAACTTCACTTTTTGAGTCCATTTCTTTTTCATTCACTTTAGTATCATTCAGAGAAATAGCATATTGAAAATAACCGTCTAATTCAATGTAATTTAATTAATAAAAAAAGATTAAATTCATTAACAGTGAATAGTATTTGTTGTATATCTATTAGAGTGGTTCAAAATAACTTTTTATTTTTTTTTTTTAACTCTTACCCTCTCAAATGTTTCTATTTGATATAAAAAAGATCCTTACTAAACACGAGCCCTATAGCTCAATTCTAAGGGGTCGCTTGTTTTATTATAGTTTCCCATTTAATTAATATGGGAAAAATTCTTTTTTGTTTTAAATTGAATTTACACATAATTTACGCAAATTTTTACAAAAAACGTTTTTATATTCTTAAAGTAAAGTCTTTGAGCTTTACAAAACTCTAAGACAATGTATGATTATCTCTAATACGAAGAACTAGTTACAGCCATTAAAAAATGACTAAATTTCGAAATTTAAAGAAATAGTTGTTTATTGGGTAATTCCATGTCAGATCGACAAATAGTTGGAATCGATCTCTTTCGATTTGGACAAATTTTTATCAGAAGTTTTCGTATATATCATAAATCGAAGTTCTGCCAAAAGAAAAACAATAAAAAAATTTTTTTCAAAAGATATGCACATTCAAAATTTCGCAATTTTTTCAGTTTTTCAATTTTGTTTTTTTAATATCTCGAACGCTATTGTAGATATCGGAATGACCTTTTGTTTGTTTAAAAAGGGACACTTAGGATTATTGAAAAAAAAATATTTTAGAAAAAAATTTCAAAAATATCAAATTTTGAATTTTTGAAAATTTTTAAAAATAACGATCGAAGTTAAAATTTTAGCTCAATTTTTTTTGTGTGATACATAGTAATCATCTTAAAAAATTCTGAAATTTTTAGAAGGGTGTTGTTTTATTTTCAACAATATCAATTTTTGAATTTCAAAAAAAATTTTTTTTTTTTTTGCAACTTTTAAATAAGGTAAAGTTATGCAGATACATAATATTGTAAATTTGAGAATTAAAATTTGAATGCATCACGTGGAAATATTGAATAATAAATTAATTTCTATTTTTTTTTGATTTTCCATGCGTTAAGGATGACTTAGAGATCATGTCAAAAAAATAAAAAAAAGTTGAAAGTAATTCATTATTCAATATTTTCACGTGAGGAATTCAAGTTTTAATCCTGAAAATTACAAAACTATGTATCTGCATAACTTTACCTTATTTAAAAGTTGCAAAAAACGAAAAAAATTTTTTTTTTGAAATTCAAAAATTTAATCTATTTTTTTTTTTTTTTTTATGAATGAGCGTGATGAAACGTGCAATTTTGGATTTTTCAAACTTACTTTTTTTCTTTTTCTAGGCATCCTGAGATGGCCCAAAAAATAAAGTTTAAAAATATCAAACGGACAATGTCACGATGGCGCACAGAAACAAAACTTCCAGAATTAGATTCCTATAGTCATGTATGTCAAGTGTTGTATCAAGAAGAATTAGAATTTTTACGAGCATATTCATTAAATCTTAATGATCCTCAAAAACTCACCATCGAACGCGGAAATGAAGATGTATTATACATTTATGATTCGCAATTACTTGATTCTTTGAATGCTGAGAACCTTTATATCAGTAGTTCAGCCAGAATCGTACCGCAGCTGAATAACTCGAAATACTTGACAACAATCATTGCCGAAGTAAAAAATTATGTAAGTACACCAATATGCAAATACTAAAATTAACTGCCGTGCATACATGGTTGAAATTTTAGTGCCTTTTTTTTTTTTTATATATATATATATATAATTACAATAACAAAATTCAAGTTACATTTGCCATAGCGGTGTATATACTGTAAAAAGGTACCGGTGAAAATGCATACCGGTGTATTAAATTTTTCTTTTATGTATCAACTTTTTTCTATTTGAAACTTACAGAAATAAATAAAAAAAAGTTTTATATACCTTTATCACATACGATGGGTATTAAAATTAGAAGTTTTTACAGGCTAAAAAAAGAATTTTTTTTTTTTTGGCAAATTGATATAATAATATTTAAACATCGTAGTATTAAGAAAAAATTCATTTTTGATTTAATTTTCCTGAATTACCAACTAAAGTGAATTTTTTTTTTTTTTTTTTTAATACTAAATAAATTATACTGACAAAAAATTAAAATTTTAATTTCAGTACATTTCAAACAAAATAAGTTGATTAACAACAAACAATTTTTCATACGTCTTTATTGTTCTCGAATGCCATGAGAGCGTAAATTTTATCCGCCCTTATGGCAACTGTAACGCTATGTAATAAGTTGACTATTGTAATTAATAAATAAAAAAAAAATTCAATATTATGATATAGTATAATTTAATTTTAAATTATATTAAGAGTAAAACTATAAATTTGCTATTTTTTAAAATTTTAAAAAATTAAGTGAATTAATAATTTTTACTAAGGAATTTAAAAAAAAATAGTTTTTCAACATTATAAGCTGTGTTATTTTACATTTTTAAATGTACAAGTTAGATATAAATTTTTATGGTATTGAGATGAACTTTTGTGATACTATATCGTAAAAATTCGTTTGTAAATAGTATATTTTAAAGTATAAAAAAATAGAGCTTATATTTTGAATCATGTATTGCATTATTACTATACTCATATCGTAATTTTTGTTATAATTTTTTTTTCATTACTGTAAGAGTTAAAATGTATTTAAAATTTAAGTAAAAAATTTATAATGTGTTTCGTTTTGTTTTGATAGGCCTTTCCAATTTTATGGATTATTTCGTCAGAAAAAACCAGTATTCTTAGTCTATATATTGCACGAATATGTCGAACAATATTAAGAAAATTTTCAACAAATCCAAGAATTAATTTTTACTCTGACTTCAATTTCCATACAATGGAGCAATTTCGCCGGCATTTCGTAAAAAAAAAAATAGATGGAAGTTTTGAGAGCTATTGCCAAGTATGAAAAAAAATATTTATAAAATTTTTATTTATAGAATTAATACTGATTACTTTTTTTTTTTTTTTTTTATAGATATTACGATATGTAGCAATTGAAAAGGGTATTGATACAAACAACCAACGTTCACAAGAAATCTTGAGAGAAGTAATGATGCTAATATTATTACCAGCTGAAAAAATTGAAGAGGAATGTCAACATATTAAAAATAAAATAATACAAAATGAACAATCCGAACAGTTTGAAGACTTTTTCAATTATTTCTGTACAGAATGGATTGAAAATTTAAAGCCAGAAAACTTCTCGTTATATAACAAAATAGAAGCAGTAAATGACATTAGTTTTATCCACTTGAGAGTTTTAGAAAATAAACTCAAAACTAACACTCCAACGTTTTGGAAATTATTAGGTAAATATATTAATAATATAAAAATCTAAGTAAATTTTTTTTAAAATAATAATATAATATAACATAATTAATGAAAACATTTTTAATTTTTACAGGCTCAATAGTAGAAATAATGACAAAATCGCGAAAAGAATTGTCAACATTAATGGAAAAAGATAAACCACGAATATCATTTACGCCTAAAATAAACCACTCATTTAACAATTGTGGGAAAAACAGTGTTATTTCTGGTTTAAAAAAATTATGGAGATCATTATATGACGAAAGAATTGATAGCAGGGAGTTCATTGACAAAAGCATGGTCGTCATGCATGAATTTTTGGATGATTTTTTTATTGACAAGGACCGAATAAAACCGAAAGATTTAACAGTCATCTACGAAGATGATGATGGTATAGGTACGTATAATAAATATAATTATTTTTTGTTATAATATGAACGAACGAATTAACCTTTTTTTGGGAGACAAAATTTTTCTTATCAATCTCATTTAATTAATAATATATAATTTCAATTGTTTTATGTTAATACTAAAAAAACTTCAAAAATTAATTGCAGATATAGAATTTGAAACAAAGTGCCAAAAATGTCCATTAAAACTGATTGAAACAATTAATTATCCATGCAACCATGCTGATTCATGTCTGCCATGTTCACAAATAAGCTTTTCTGAATGCACCATGTGTGAAAAAGTGGTTGAAAAGAAGGAAAAAATCTTTTTACCAATAGATGAAACAAGTGAGTGTTTAAATATTTAACTTCATTTTATTAATTTGACAAAAAAAAAAAAAAACTGATGTAAATCAAAAAATTAATTAATTAAATATTAAATTATTTTTTTCAGATGAAATAAGTGACTTTAAATGTCAAATTTGTTTTGATCGTTCAGTCGGAGTTTACTGGAAGCCATGTAATCATGCTTTATCATGTATTACTTGTGCAGAATCAGTTCAAAAATTTAATGGCATTCTTAAATGCCCGCACTGCAACACTCCAAGTACAGGATTCGTAGACTTCGAGTTACCAATAAAAATAAATATTTAAAAATTAAACTTATATAAAAATTAATATGATTAAGTATTTTTCATTTTTTTCATCGACACGATTTTTTCATCATTGTAATAGAGTATAATTAATGTTTTATTAGTATATCTACGATTTTTATATTACATACGTTATTTTTATTTAAATTCTTCTACAAAGTATTTATTTATTGATAAAATATTTAAGGTTATTGCTGTAAAAATTTTATTTAAATTATTAATTTTATGTTTGTTAAAATAAAAATAAAATTAATAAAATGCATATTCCACATATATGTATGAGATACAGAAGAATAAAATTTATATCAAAAAAATTTTCACTGCATCAAAAAAATAAAAATTAAATAAAAATTTAAAAATTTAAATAATACAAGATCGTAAATTATTTTAATTCATTTATCTAAATAAAAAAAATAAATATTTTAGGACAATCATTTAGGATTTCAAATTAAAGGTGAACACATTCAATAAATCTAAAAAATAATTTTATTGATGATATGCACATTAATTTTTATTTTATCATGCCTCTTCTATTATCTGATCTTGGTTGGAATATATTTTTTTTGCGACAATTCAATAATATAATTCTTGATTCCATTTTAAATAAAAAAATATTATTGTCTAATGAGCTATTAAATGGATAAATAATAAATTTATAGAATAAAAATTGATTGTCTTCAAGAATTACAATTAAATTTTGATGATGATATTAAAAAAATTCATTTAATTTCGATAAAGATAATGATACACAATCTACGAATTCGTAATAATTTATTTGTAAGAAAATTGATTTGTTTCATGTAACAATATCGTTTTTCTCACCATGAGGAGAAATAATTTATTAAACTATAAATTACTACTAAATCAGTTTACAGGCTTAATTTTAGATTCTTTACCCATATGACTTTTAAAGCATCACTTAAATTTAAGTGTTTATAAACACCGCATATTTCTCAAATTCAGTCGATAACTTACCATGAAAATCCTCAATGACCGGTCACGAAATTTTAATGTCAATAATATAGTTTTCCCTTTATCATATTAAAAATTTTTCGGATAGTGTCTACTTCGTGAACTGCCTCGTACTAAAAATATCTTCGCGGATCAAGACCGTTTATGTATATGTCTATGGGTATCAGGTCTTTTTGGTTTTCATAACTTTTCGGAAAGAGATGCTTCTGTAAAATGAAAAATATTTCTCGGATAATATCTATTTCGTAAACTGTCTTATTATAAAAATATCTTGGCGGGTTAGATTAGTTTATTGTAATTGTCCTTGGGGAAAGGGTCTTTTTGGTTTTCATAACTTTTCGGAAGGAGATGCTTCGGTAAAATTAAAAATATTTTTCGGATAATGATCAAATGTGAATTGTGTATATAATCAAATAAGAATTTTTTTTTAATATGATTGATAACAGCAATAATAAAACTTAAGGAAATCTCGATAGGATAGTATTATGTACCGATATCGGTAGTGTAAATGTGGGCGATTACGATGGCACAAGTACTAAAATAAATGAGTTGAGCTCTTCGCCAGTGAAATTGCCAAGAAACACCTATAAATCCAACCGGTTGGATGACTCACTCACAACGAATGTGCATATGCATATCATACGTATTATGTACCTAAATTCTAATGTATGTATGATATATAATATGTTATAGATATAATTACGATGAGTCTTACTCACCAATTTTACTCTCTACTCACTTGTACAAAACCTAACCGGTGTCACGCGATTTGTTCAATTATCAACAACTTTATGTTTGCCAATTTGTTATTTTTCTGTTTAAATAATCGACTTCTGAGGAGTAATATTTATATAATCTTCATCTTCTCACAAGTGAAAATTTTTTATCTTACGATGTGGATTTAAGTTAAATCTTATTATTTTATACCAAGTATTTTTTTTCGATTTTAATCAATTAACAATTTAATTTTATATAATAACCAATAATTGAATCAATTTAGTTTTTAATTGCTTCAGCTTGTCAATAGAAACTGTCAAAATTAATTATGTATTCAATATAAAAGAGAGGAGATATTAATTATGTTATTACATTTGTAAAAAAAATTTATATAAGTTTTGACTTTTATAATTTTTCAGTTTCAAATAATTTTAGGCAAGAAAATTTTTTAGGCTTACAAAACATTAAATTTTTATTTTTTTGTATAAAACATTTAAAAATAAATCAAGAGTTGTTCGCGAAAATTATACCGACTGCGAATAAAACTCAGAATTTATTTTATCATCGTCGAATAATATAATTATCGAAAAGTTTTTATTTAATCAACTGTTAATAGTTTTAAAAAATTACTGTTTGTTTAATTATTATCAATGAATTTAAGTTTTAGAATTTCTTCTTTGAAAAAAACAATATTTTTTTGTCAATTGTAATTTTAACTATAAATTTACAAAATTTTTATCCAAGGAAATAAAACCATTTACATTATTATTAATAATTTTTAAATAGTTTTTATTGACATAAAAATAAGAAAAATACACATAAAAAAGAAGATATTATTAAAACTAATTGTTCCACAAATAAAAATAGTTTAAAATGTATATAATCATAAAATATGTTTATGCCAAAAATTCAAAATAGCTGAAGATTCATCAGATTATTCATAACGTACAAAAATATGAATTGACAAATAAGTCATATTTCGTTGACAATTTAAGTATTTGATACATATATAAATTGTAAAAATTTTACAGTTAAAAAAAAATAAAATAAGAGAAATATAACGATCTTTTACCGAAGTATAATAATTAAATAATCTGATTATAATTATAATAATAAAAAAATATGTATCCGGTGTTCGCGTGCCGCTTAATAATTATTCATTCTAATCTATTCTCCGAAGTTGAATTATTTAGAGAATTCGAATCTAAGAGAAATCATAAATTTAGCAACCGAGTAATGTAATCAATCAATTAACTGTCTGTTTAAGACCAATAAACTTATTATCCATCGGATATTGATTTAAATAATATTTTCTTAGGTTGTTATCCAAATCCCAAGTGCGGAAGTTGTCATTCATTATTAACTATTAACACAATTACCTCTTTTATTCCATTTTACCTATAATTACAATGATATAAATTATAAAATGTTAAATCCAAGATAAAAAAATTAAAAATAATTTTAAATTGATGTAGAAATAGCAACTATGTTTAGTTGTCAGACAACGCTAGGTATATCATCTTCTTTATGTTACTGACAAATTACATTCGTGCGACATATTTTTATTTTTAGATTTTATAGTGTCACTTAAACATGTTACTTTGTTGCTTTAAAATAAATGTAAACAATAATTAATATTTTATTATTATTACTTAATAATTATTTAAAAAAAAACCTTTAAGTTTACCAAAGTAATTTTCAATATTTAACTAAAAAATAAGAGGAAGGAAAAATAAAAGTAACAACAGAATAAATATATATTGATTTAATTATATAAAAATTTAAATAAATAAAACATTGATCATTTTAGAGACAAAAATGAAGGCATTACACATAAATACTATTGTCTTTACTTTCCGAGAATGATTTTACGTCCAGCACCCATGTTTTGTCCAGCTTGGCTAGCGCCTTTGTTTGATCCAGCTTGTAATCCAACGATTGTCTGTCCAGCGCGTAAAGTTTCTTCAGAAAAGTCGCGCTTGCATTCTTCAGAGGGTTTGGGTCCTAGGTAAGGTCCTTTCCATTCTGGGTGTAAGTAAGTCTGTAAAAATGTTACTTATTAATTGACAAGTCTATTATAAAAAAAAAAAAAAAATTCAATTATTTTGTCGGTGGGATATCCAGCTTTGGCGAAGAGCGCAAGTCGCTTGTTACTAGCGCGGAACGCCGTGGTTCGAATCCTGGCTTGGTTCAATTTTGAAAACTTGCTTTTTTTATGACTACCATTTATTTAATGACACGAATTATACTACGAATTATTTTATAAGTAATTATTAGAAAATTAAATGCTTACAGTGCGACCAAGGGCGAAAAGTGAAGTTGTAACCTGGGCGATATCTTTCTTCTCAAACAAATCTGATGTTTGGAAAACATCAACATCATGGACACCGTATTCTTTCATAGCCTTTTGGAAGCTGTCAAATTATTATCAAATTATTAAATAACTATCAATTAATATTTGATAATAAATTTAATTAATAAATTAAAAACTTACTTGTTGATGTTTTCCATCAATTTGAATTGTCCACCAGAAGTATTTATTTTAGGAATAGCTCCAGGAACAAGTTTGTTCATAAGTTCACAAAGGACTTGTCCGTCACGAAGAACATCTTCGTAGGCTTCGCCAGCTGGGAATTTTTTTCCAAGGATTGCTTCAATCCATTCTTGAGCTTCTTTCTCTTGTTGCGGGTCACGTTTAGCCAGAACCTAACCAGAAAATACGTTTAAAATTTCGTGTCAAAAAGAAGTTTTTTTTTTTAATATAAAAAATTAAAAAACAAAAAATGAAAGAAATCATTCTAATAGAAATATTTTTAATGTAATTAATAAATTGTTTTATAAATAATAACACTGCACAAGTACCTTGGCGCGGACTTGACGTTCTAGAGCCATCTCAGACTAATTTAATAAATAAAAGTGTTTTGAGAAAGCAACTGGATCCACTATCAGAGGTTGACTGAAGTATTGAGATCACCAGCGAGTCACTTTTATACTCCTCAACATAAACGCACTTGGTTAATATTATTATAACACCGGATAAACGTCCATGTGAATTCTTATTCCGAGATGTTTAAGTCATCACATCTTCCCACTGTTTTCATGCATTTACAATTTTTCATTTCTAATTTTAGGAATAGATGCTTGTTTTTTTGTGTCTTTATTTCTTATAGTGTATATAATACACAATATACAACAGGGCATTCATAAATTATAATTATTTTTATTTTTAATCAAACAAAGCGCCTAAAAAAATTCTTCATCAACTCAGGAAGTATATATTTAAATTTAATTAATATTTCTTTTTTGAATAATTAAATTTCTAGAATTAGTTAAATTAATATTATTTATTTATTTATTTATTTATTTTAAAAAAAATTATTTATAATTTCAGAAAAAAAAATATTCTGCGGAAGTTTTACTTGAGTTACATTGAAGTTAAGTTAAAAATACCGTGGCGGAAAAATAAAAACATAAATATTTTTTTTGTAAAAGTATTACGCTGCGTAGTCAAGGTCAAATATCTTTCTAAATATCCGCAGCTATATGGGTCAAGTTATAAATGTGTGATCCAGTTGATTATAAAGAAGCTGATGGCAATGATGATGATGACAAAAACTGTACTGACGTCTGAGATATACTTTAATTATTTAGCAAACAGCCAAGGGGTGGAAACCTGCTTTGTTGGTAGTTTGTTACTGAGAACTAAACTTTAAGATTGCGCAAACCTAGATTGTGTAATCGGACAGGTATTATTTAAAAATTTTAAGCGTTTGGAGAATATTTCCACCGTTACGTTCAGTGGTGGGAATCATCGCTGAGTCAATTTTAAATATACCCTAACATCTGTGCGATTCAGAGCTTTTAAAAAACTATTTTATTGCTTCGCCGATATTTATGTGTGTATATATCTGGATTTGTAAAATGCTTTTTTGGAACCCTATTTCATTTTTAATACACTTTAAAGAAATAAAAATTGTGTCCAGACAAAGATTTCTTGACTTTAAAATTTTGTTAAAATTAACAATTGGATATATTATTAATTCTTCGGTAAAAAATATCAATTTCTGTTTCCATTATTATATAACAAACAAATGAATATATTCGCAGAAAAAAAAAATTTGCTTCATGATGAATTTTAGATTCTGAAATATAAATTTCATCATGAATAACAGAGTGAATTTCAGCTGAATTTCATGATGAACTTGAAACGAATTGTTCATGAAATTTATTTTTTATAACTAGTAAAATACATCTATGGACTCGATGGCGTTGAAATTTCTTTTTCAATTCATGTTAACTGAACTGTCAAAATTTCATAACATTTATTTGAATAAATTAATTAAAGAAAGAATAGAAAGTAAGTTTTTAATTATCATTTCTTCTTTATTACTGGTCATAAAAAATAAGTTTTATAAGCAATTCGTTTCAAGTTCACCATGAAATTCAGTTTAAATTCATCTTGTAATTAATTTCATAATGAATTATTAATTCCGAAACAATAATTCGAATCGTGTATATATTTTATCCTTTATGAATTTGTTCAAATAAGAGTTTTACTACCATCGACTCCAATGATATTTTTTACTGATTATTAAAAATCAGTTTCATAAGCAATTTGTTTCTATTTCATCATGAAATCCAGCTGTAATTCACCCTGTAATTCATGATAAAATTCAGCGTAAGTTCATATCGAATTAATATTTGTTTCAGAATCTAAAGTTTGTCTAAAATTTATCACAGACTAAATTTTTTTTTGTACAAATAGCTTCACTTGAATTAAATAAAAATTATTTTCATCAATTCGACCAATTCTTCAGACAAAAAAGTCAATTGTTGGAAATTTTTAAGAATATTCGTTCTTGTGTCAAGAACATAAATTTTTTATTCTCAGTGTAGACATAAAATTTAAAAATTTTAATTTTAAAATAGTCTTACGCTTCTTAATCTTCACTTTAATTATTTGAATTGATTTAAAAATTTTTATTTTTTCACTTTTTTAAAAATGTTGAATATATTTTTTTGTATAACTCGTTATTCACTATTTATCATAATTAGAAGTAATTTTATGAACATAAAAAATATTCTAGATGGGTGAGTATTAAGCAATGATTGATTTTTAAAAACGTCAGAGATTTTCAATTTGCAGACGTCTGCATTTATAATTAGTACTAATTATAAATGAGTCTCTGAATTATTATCTGAGTAATTATTATCTGAGTAATTAGAATTAATGATCTTCATCAATATTATCCTAGACATGTTCATCGATAATTATTATTCAGAAAAACACACACTTGAAAAATTTAATGCGCGTTGAGGGGATAATTAGTATAATAAGCATAACATATTTAGGATATGTGATAAAATTTATAGTAAATTAACATGTCTCAATGATTATCAAGGTATAAAAAATAGCTATATTTTAACCGTCAAAAAAGAATAATTTTTGTACAATTAAAAATATTCATTTTACGATACAACATATTTCATACTTTTATTACTTATTTAATTTTAATTTAAATATATCTACTGGTCAATTCATCTTTAATTTTTAACACTAATTCTTATTGAATTAAAATATCCAATTACCATAAATTATTTCTATAAATTAATAAAAAAATATTGTCCATCAGCATTCTTATAAGCAATTATAAAGAAGATGTTATTCTTTTTCTTAATTATTAATAAAGAAAAAAAACTTTTAATTAAAATGAATAAACCTGAGTTTTTGTAATTAATTAAACATAATTCTTTAAATAATTGGCCTGAGTATATCAATCACAATATCCATTGATTGATCATCAATAAGAACAATGTCAAAAGTATCCAAAAATGACGGAAGCGAACTTTCAACCTGTACAGATTAATTGATATCGATAAAATAAATATTTATTAACAGACTATTTATAAAAATAAAAACTTACTTGTTCATAAAGAAAACCAATTTTTAAAATAGTCTCAACACCTTCAGCTCCATCGGCCATTGTTGCATCTCCAGTCATATCTCCCATGAGCACAACATTTTTTCTCCCTTTAAGAGAATTGTAGTACTCCTTGTCAGTAATAACATTTTCATTTTTATTAAAAACATGAATCAGTTGATCGTTTTTGAATCCATTAATCTTTCCGTCTTTGTAATTTAGAAAGTTGGACACCACTTTAACATTATTCAGAAAGACATCATGGAGCTTCAAAATGGCCTCAACGACATCACCAAGTCCAGCGCTAAAGACAAGTACCGGTACCTTAGCAGCGTTCAATCTGTCAATCAATTCTTTCGTTCTATCACGAACATCAGTGCCATGAATTTTCACAACTTCTTCAATCTCACAAGGATCGTAATTAACTCCTCTCAAAAGATCATCCGATTCAGTCATCCATGATTCCATTGCCTCGATTTTTTTTTCAAGCTCCAAGTCATGATCTAGCTCGATTGGTCGATATTTGTCAAATAATCGCTGCTTTTCTTCTTTCATCTTCTCGGAAATTTGAGAGCTTTCAAAGAAGATACCTAATAAAATATTTACATTTTTATGAAAGGTAAATTATGCGAAATATGTAAATAAGTATGAAAATTTAGCAGACATCTGACAATTTTTAGAATTTTCCGTATAGAAAAATTTATTACAAAAAAACATTTTTTTTTTTTTAATTTCACATGTAAAAAATTTGAGAAATGCGTTATTCAATTATTATTCAATATTTTTTTAGTTCTAATTTAATTAATAAAAAAAATTCTTTTAATTGTTAAACTAAATTAAGCTAATTTCAGTATCATAAATATAACTTACCGAAACTGCTAAGAATATGTTGTCCGTTGACATGTTGTTTGGTGATTGTTCGATCAAAATCTGTGACCATCTGAAATAAATATTATTATTATTATCATCGTTTATTACCACAAAATTTATTATAAAATAATAAATTGATTATAATTGTAAATAATTTATCATTATACATACTTGCAATTTCGTTGGACCATCATCGCGAATTGTTTTTATCTTATTAATTACACTTTCCAGGTCGCGAATCCTCACGTTGTCATTTTTCAAGATTGACATCTGAGATTAAAAATACAATTTTTAAAAATGTTAAACGCAGAAAAAAAAAATGCTGAGCATGGTTTTCTACTTACGTCTTCAAATCTCAAATCGTCCGGCATGATTGAATAATTATTTTTAAGTAATTAAATATTATCCTGAAATTAAACTATTATTTTATCATGTTATTATGATGTCTTGAGAAAAAATATTTAAGATTTGAAACAAATAAACGTCGTTGGTACGTTTCATTTTTGTCTCGTCATTTCATTATTCTGGATGTAAATAGTAGGAATTTATTTTATTACCAGAAGAGAAAACAAATGATCATATACGCATCCCTGATAGCTACAGTTTCTGTCAGATAGTTGCCACCAACTTACCGACAACTTGCGGTCAACTTCCGCGAATTTGAAACTGTTGGCGTCCAGTTGGCTACAAGTTTCTGAGAAAAACAAGACCAATCTACTGCCGCAATATGTCGCCAAATTTCTCGAGAAACTTGTCGTCAACTTGGTGCGAAAGAGTTTCGAAAGCAATTTCTGCCGACAACTTGGTGAACAACCGAGTTCATTTCCAAGACTTGCCGCCAACTTGGTGACAAGTTGCTGCAGCAAATCAACGGAAAGTTGCGAAAGTTGCGACCGGTTTGGCTATCAGGGATGATATCCATGCATACCTGTGATTGATGATTATGTTTTGTTACATATATACAGACTTACCCCCTTTTCCTATAAACAAAACTTTCCGAATAATCACTTGACTGAAAAAACTGAAAAAAACAGAATCCACATCGCCATCTTTAAAAAATTTTTGTATTCTCTTTATTGACATCCGATGAGACAACTTCCGATTGAACACTCAAAATCCAGCACCAAAAAACAGTAGATAAGAAAGAAATTTTCTTTTTCTGTTCTGTAAAATCTGTAAAATAAACTGCAGTTAATGTAGTGACCCTCCCTGATGTATCACCCTGTATATCACCCTGCTACCTTGATAGCAAATTGTAGTAAAGTTGAAAGGAAATTTAACTACAAATTTGATTGTTAACTTGTATTCAAGTTGCGGCCGTAGATTTCCGTCAATTTGCTTACAACTGTTGTTGAGTGAAGAATTACCGCCAACTTGATGCATAAATTAACCGTAACTGCTGGAAGTCAACACTTACTGAGAAAGCGCTGGCTATCAGGGTATAGCCACCTTAACTCTAACTTTTATTCAATCTACTGCCGAAATTTGTAGCTGACTTGATGGGAAGAGTTTGCAAACCAAACGGGTTTAGTTAAGTTGTCTATAAGGTAAAAGACCCAGTTATTGATACTGGCCTAGTTGTTTGACACTTGCAATTTTATTCTAATTAAAAAAATTAAATGTTCTCAAAAAACCAATTTTTTTGAAATTTATAATTAAAAAATTATATTTATTAATTTATTAAAGTTAATTTGTTTTTCTTAATTAAGATAAAATTGCAAGTGTCAATAACTAGGCCAGTGTCAGTAACTGGGTCTTTTACCTTAAGTTATTACTCTGCAATTTGACGTCAAGACTTGCAGTACAAGTATTTTAGTCAAGTTGTAGTAAAGTTGAAAGGAACTTTAACCAAAAGTTTAGTGTTAACTTGTATTCAAATTGTAGACGTAGAGACGTAGATTTTCGTCAATTTGTTTACAACTGTTGTACTGTAAAGAATTATCGCAAACTTGATGTTAAGTTAACTGTAACTGCTGAAATACAACTACTTTTAAAAAAAGCGTGGCTATCAGGGCATAGTTGGAAGTGCAAAAGTATATAACATACTATAAAAATACAAGTGTACCGATAATGATGCTGTCCAATGATTAATATCAATTATTGGAAGTCAACTTGACTTGCAAATTCAGACTTTTCAAATGTTGCTGTTAGATTTATGCCAATCTACTAACGCAGTTTGGTGTTAGTGTGAGGTGCAGATTTCAAGCAAACTGACTGCAAAAGTTGGAAAGCCAAAATCTACTGTCAGTTTGCAAACAAATAGCCATTCAGTGTTTGGCATTCTGGCTTAGCCCGATTTACTCATTTTTCATTTATAAAACAAGAAATTCTATAGTTTTTGTTGATCTGCATGTAGCTTGCAAGCAAATGTTAAGTTTCAAGTTTAGCCCTAGACTGGTCAACAAGCTTGACCTAACGACTTTGGTCAAGTGATGAGGGATTTGCCGCAATGCTTTTAGAGCGTACAGTGTTGCCAGTTCATGCACGTTTGACAGGCAGAGACTGGAGGTGTTTTCGGCAACGCCGCGGACAAAGAACTACTTACGACTCTGGTCAAGCGATAAGGAAAGCCCCGCAAATTTTTTTAAGAAATTTTTTTTCAGCAATTAAAAAAATTATTAATATATTCTAAAATATTCAAGGAGCAAAGTCAAATTTTTTTTAATAATTTTAGTTAATATTGAAGATGTAATAAAAAAAATATAATTGAGCGCGGCATCACGCTTATACGTTGACCAGTCTAGGGTTAGTAGTCAGTCAGTCTGCCACCAATCTATTCCCCAGATTGACACCAAATTACCAAGCTGTGTCATCAGATAGATGTCAGTTTGCTACCAAGTTGTTATTGGGATATATAAAAAGAATGTAATATGCATATTAGCATTTTATAAATTTTATGACTTCATATACACTTCTCACAAAAATTAAGGGAGCAAGAAAAAAATCCAAATTTTTGGGGGATTTTCAACAGGCTGTAACTTATACAAAAATGGTCGTACAGCAAAAAAAAAAAAGCAAATTGTAGCTCTGTGTCTAGTTTTTGGATCTGAGTTTGAAAATTTTTCATTGAAATTTTTTTTCGAGTAATCTTAAGAAAACCACCGAAAAAAAAAAATTTCGAAAAAAATTTTTGTTTTTTTTTTAATCTACGGACTTGGAAATTTTTTAACATTATATAACATTATACATATAACTTTCAAAATATTTAACTAATCAATCCTGCATGATATAGATGTAGATAATATAGATATATTTCTCTCAAGAATTTTTGTCTCTTGGTTCAAGATAGGTGATAACATTGATTCAAGATGTTACCGACTTGTGTTAAGAATGGCTTTTTTTTGAGTCATTAATTTACTTATTTCCAAGAAATAATTTTTTTTTTGGTATAATAATTAAAGACTATTTAGTTTTTTAAATATACTTTGATGAATTATTTTAAGTTTTTTAAACGATAATGTTATTTTGATTGAAAAACTTGAATGTATTGATTGAAGATAATATAAGTATATTTGAAATATATTACCGCATATATGTTCATACATATGCTTACATGTATGTGTACATTGTAAAAGCGTTCCAATCTGCCATTTTTTACAAAGTTATAGGCATTAAAAAAATATGTTGACACATATTTTTGAACATAAATGTATTCATAAACGTCAAAACAAACATGGGCATATATATATATATATATATATTGTCGAGGGTACACCCGTTCCTAGTTATGACAACCCGCTCCACTCCGTACGATGCGCTGGTGAATCAAAAAGTATGAGTAATTTACAGGAAACAAACAAGAGTAGAAACGGGCTTCATGCCAACAAGCAGCGATTGACGCAAGCGCTGAAATGAAGCGGTCACAAGCGCTCGAACGCCTCAAAAAGCTGACCAGTGAGTTGAATGACTATTATATGTGCTTCGATTATAGATCTGACAACAGACCAAAAAAAAATTTTGGAAAATTTTTTATATAACGGGATATATGTAAGTGCATGTATTTAATTATGTATAAGTAACAGTATATATATGTTAGTATATATCCAACCACATATGTAAGTGGGCAAATTTTTAATGTACGTTTTACATACAGTACCGACGGAAAATTTCTGGACAACCTTCTTGTTTACTTTTTAATTTAAATATGATATATAAACAAATTAACTTGATCTATAAAGAAAATGCTATTCTATTTTACAGAGTGTTCGGCGATTGTGTCATTGACTTTCTTCTTGATTTATTTTACTTTTAATAATAGTTTCAATAAATGTTCATTTTGTCCGGAAACTTTCTGTCGGTAGTGTATATATTGCATTTTTATTGGAATTTATATTTCGATACATAAAATTGATAATTATTTATTATAAGTGGGGTCAACCCATGCTGGCCGGGCCATGTTAAATTTTTTTATTGAATTGATCAATTCTTTTTTTTTAAATTGTTCGTTTTTTACGTACTTTTCAAAAAATAATCTATCAAAAACATCAAAAAAAGATAAAATATAAATTTTATCCAAAAACAAGAAAGCTAATTTTTTATTCCAACTTTTAAAGGCAAAAAAGCTATCGAAATCTTTATATTTTTCCTTTCACGACATTATTTATCATAAATGCGCCGTAAAAACAAGCAGAATTAAAAAACATAAATTTTTCACCTAGTTATGGCCCAAAATGGGGTTGACTCCACTTGTAAATAATAATCATAAAATTATATATCCAGGCATTTACATTTTTTTCGTGGGGGATTCTACTCCTGCCTTTGTTTTCATATCTTACAAGTTTGTTGAAATAATAAAAAATTTATTCCCATTCCAGCTGTCAAACTGCCTTTTTCTTAATTTTCATCCGTTTCGTCAGTTTTCTAACATTAATACCTAGACGGAAAAAAAAAATTGTAGGAAAAATTACAATTGTAACATCGTAATCCAGGACCAGACTTTCAATACATTCACTTTGATAAATTTATAATGTTACATCGTAAAAATTCGGATGTTTACTATTTTTGAAAGCATTTTTTCGATACAACATCGTAAATTTTAAAATGTAAACTTGTCAAAGTAACCGCATTCAAAGTCTAGTCTTGGATTATGATGTGACAATAGTAATTTTTCCTACAACTTTTTTTCTGTGTACTATTATCTAGTCATCGAAAAAATTGAAGCTTTTGAATGATCAATACCACCTTTTCTTCTCAATTACAACCATAAAATTCAAAATTTTGGACTTTCCAGTCCGAATGATCAGTACCCCACAAAAAAATCTCATCTGATCAGACTCAAGAACCTAATCAACGAAAAAACAGCAATAAAATTAAACGCATCAACACAAGGTACGCCAATTCACTACCCTTATCTCTTATATACATGTCTCGC